GTGGTAATCAGCAAATTAGATTGTGTACAATGTCTGTTTACCGTATCTCTGACTCTCTACCCCCATATCCCACAATCCCATTCCTGACTAGCTCTGTTTCCCATATCTCATCTATCTGTGTCCCCATTCAAACACAACCATCCATCTCTGTGACTACACAGCAGTGTGTGCATGTGTGATGAAAGTGAATTTCAAAAAGCTAGTCCTGGTTATTCCACAGTTTATCTCCAACCACCATTCACCAACCATAATGGCCCATAATAAAGGCAGCATACTCCTGTTGGACCAACCTTTTCTTCATCTTCTTCTCATATCATGCATTTGTCATGTCACACTCACACACAGTGATTGAAGCCCGTCAACTTAACATATATATTACAGGATGTGTCTTTTAAAACTTGAGGGATAATGATGCTGTGTGCAACAACAGGCATGCAAATGGCAAAAGTGAGTAGACTTTGATCAATTGTGATGTGTGGGTTAATTTGTAACTGTCACAATAGTTGCTGCATGGAGGTGAAGCTCTGATGGGCTTAGATCAATGATTGTTTGATTAATAATAAATTAGTAGATATGGCCATGGAAAATATGTATTGCAAAATCATTGCTTTTGTGCTGTTTCATTTATATTTTGCAATTCTTTATTTTTGTTTGCAAAAAGCACATTTATTTTTCTCAATACTTTCATTTTCGTTTGCAAAACTTTATTTTCTTTTGCAAAACTTTATTTTCTTTTGCAAAACTTTATTATTTTGCATATATATGTGGCATTATATTGACTCCATATAAAACATGCTATTTTATGTAGCACAGCTCCAAATTAGTCACTTAAAAGGTTCCATCTTGGTTAGCAGGTAGGCGCCTGTGTAGACAGTAGACAGTAAGGCGGCTCGCTAGGTTTTGGAACTCAGCCATAGTATGTGCTCATCATCAGATTGAGGTGTCACATTCATGCATTTGTCATGTCACACTCACACACAGTGATTGAAGCCCGTCAAGTCTCTTAACATATTACAGGATGTGTCTTTTAAAACTTGAGGGATAATGATGCTGTGTGCAACAACAGGCATGCAAATGGCAAAAGTGAGTAGACTTTGATCAATTGTGATGTGTGGGTTAATTTGTAACTGTCACAATAGTTGCTGCATGGAGGTGAAGCTCTGATGGGCTTAGATCAATGATTGTTTGATTAATTAATCTGTCCTCAGTGATGTGATTGAATCAATGGAGGAATACGACATTTATGGGAATTATGATAGGGAATTGGTTGGCCACTGAGCTTATATTGATGGCAATATAACCATAATTAATTAGTGTGATTAGTGGTAGACCGGCCCCCTCCATAAACATCCTGTAAAATCGTCCATTATTGATCAGAGCCCAACATGAGAGAGAGAGAGAGAGGGGGGCTGAAGGGTATAAGTGGTTAAAACAAATGCCACATTTGACGTGGGAGGTACAAACACGACCAGCTGTCAAAGGGGATCAGATGCTTTAAAAGGTGGACAAAGACTAGAGGGACAGAATAATGTCCCCTCGTTAGAAGCATGAGGATGCTGTTTAAGCATACATAAGGAACACCCGGGTGCATTTTAATGAGATATTTTTAGAATCCAGCGTCACTGCGCACTGAGGATGCACATCACATAGTCATTATCTCTGTTCACTCGTATTACATACACAGCAGTACATACTGAAGTATACACTACATTATGTACTACACTATTTTCTATAACTACATATATACTAAATGCTATAACAATATACTCCTACAAAAAAGTACCTTGGTGATGCCATAGTACAGTGATTGTATTAGATGGAGTACTGTGGTATTATACCATGGTACTGAATGATTACACAAAACAGGTTCTCATGAGGTTTACATGTTGCAATAAATAACATGGTATCGCCATGGTATTTCCAAAAAGTCCAAACAAACACGGTAATAGCATAGGGCTTTTTGGTATGTTTTTGTTTCTGTGAAATACTCTATATAGAATATTCTACTCGTCCTATGTACTACACTAAAGAATATACTGAATACTTCACTATATACTACACTAAATACAAAAGACCACACAATATACTCAATTCTTCAGTGTGCACTAGACAGGATAATTTACAGAACACCGTATACGGTAGTATACACGACTTGATTCTATATCACACCCTACGGAATACTTCAGTATTAACTAGACTGAACACTATATAGCACACTACCACAGTATACTGAATATTCTAGACTATATACCATATAGTACACTATATAGAATAAACTACCCTTTGTTTTATACATTGCACAACAAACCAAATACTAATTCTAGTACACTATATACACTAAACAACAACCTAGGAACTATATGTATGTATGTATTTTACCTTATTTAATATATTAAATACCACAGTATGAACAACATAGAATATACTACACTACGTATTAAAGCTACACTATACACTATACTACAATATTCTGAACACTTCAAAATAATCTAGACTATACAGAATATGCTACTCTATGTACTATATACAATATACTAAATAAAAAATAAATGACTGTATACTATGTAAAGCACTATATAGAATATACTACACTACATATTGATATAGTATTGTATATTATATTATACTGCACAATATAGTATACACTACTACACTATAATAGTAATCAACTGCATACTATATAGTGTACAACACAGAATATATTATACTATACTACTGTATGAACTGACTACTAGATATCCAGTATCTAGATTGTGTACTACATTGTATAGAATATACTACACTGTTAAGTATACACTATACAATGTATTAAATAATAAACAACTGCATACTGTAGTGCACTATAGAGGAGATACTACACTGCATACTATGTACTGAATACTACAGTAGATAGTATACTTAGATTGTACACCACATATTGACATATTATTGTATATTACATTCTATAGAATATACTACACAATATAGTATACACTACTACACTATAATAATAAACAACTGCATACTATATAGTGTAATACATATAATACAGTATACTATACTACCTACTACTCTATGAACTGACTACTAGATATCCAGTATCTAGATTGTGTACTACATTCTATAGAACATACTACACTGTTAAGTATACACTATACAATGTATTAAATAATAAACAACTGCATTCTGTATTGTGCACTACAGAGAAGATACTACACTGCATACTATGTACTGAATACTACAGTAGATAGTATACTTAGATTGTACACTACATATTGACATATTATTGTATATTGCATTCTATAGAATATACTACACAATATAGTATACACTACTACACTATAATAATAAACAACTGCATACTATATAGTGTAATACATAGAATACAGTATACTATACTACCTACTACTCTATGAACTGACTACTAGATATCCAGTATCTAGATTGTGTACTACATTGTATAGAATATACTACACTGTTACGTATACACTATAGAATGTTTTAAATAATAAACAACTGCATTCTGTATAGTGCACTACATAGAATATACTACACCACATAATATGTACTCAATACTACAGTATAATCTACACTGTTTAGTACATTCTATAGAATATACTACACTGTTAAGTATACACTGTACATTACATTAAATAATAAACTGCTTACTACATAGTGCGCTACATAGAATACACTACACTACATACTATGTACTGAATACTACGGTATAATCTAGACTGTATAGTACATTATATAGAATTTACTACACTATATAGTGTACACAACACAATTAAGTATACACTACACAATATATTAAATAATATACAACTGTGCAGTACATAATGGACTACACAGATCATACTAGACTGTATATTACATAACGTAGTACATTAGAATATACCACACTATATACTATACATACTGTACAATAGGCTATTAAATACTTATAAACAGCATTATATAGTACATTGTATATAATACACTCCCTACTATGCACTGTACTACACTATATGCTCCACTGCCATGCGCTAACATAGTCCAAATGTTTTATCAGGCACTGAAGATCTGCCGTGTAATAAGCAGTGTTGGGGATTAACTAGTTACATGTAACAGAATTATGTAATTTAATTACAAAATAAATGTAACTGTAATCTGTTACAGTTACTGAGAAAAAATGTGTTATTAAATTACAGTTACTTATGAAAATGTTAAAGATTACAAAGGGGGTTACATCTGAATATTTTCACACACATTCAGATTTGATTGATTTCTTTCCTCTACAATATGAGACACCAATGTTTCAGGAGTTCAGGACACAGAATAGGATACATGCTTATTCAATAACTGTTTCATTTCCTATTTGGGTTTATGTATATGCTTTATTTTTTTTAAGATTAACTGTTTTTTTTCCAACATTGTTAGATGCCGGTGTTTCCTGTCACAGCTATGCAAAGATTTGATTTCAAAAACAGCATCATAACTATTAAACAATATCTTATGATTTTAAATCTGTATTTTACCTCAGAACGATCTCAAGTAAAAAAGTGCTGCTAAAGTCTGATTCTGTGGTGGCTGTGCTTTAAAATTACATTTTTATAATCTTAATTCAAGAATGAAGGATTTTGAAAGTCTGACAGTGATCAAGGCAAGGCACGTTTATTTATATAGCACATTTCGTACACAATGGTAATTCAAAGTGCTTTACATAAAAGAAAGTAAAATAATCGTAAAAAAATAATCACAAGAAACTACAGTAACCCTGCCTGTTTTAAATGTTTCAAAATGATTAACAGTTGAAAACATCTGTTAGAAATTCAGAAAAGCAATCAAAAAGTAACTACTTATTGCATTTTAAATAGGCTAACTTGTAATCTGTAACCTATTACATTTCCAAAGTAACCTTCCCAACACTGGCAATTTGATATATGAACGTTCATAATTTCATCTGGTTACTAAGCACAGTAAGGAGTTTATTACTGCTTTATTACAGCCACGCATGACCCATATGGCCTCGGAAGGTTATAAAGGCTAAAGGTGAAAGGACTGGAAGACACCCGAACGAGCAGTTGAGCATGCAGCTGCCATCTTTCCGACAGCGTCAAAGCTCAGCAGCATTCAGACCGGGCGGACTGGTCTGCTCTGCTGCGCCTCCTGAATAATGAATGAGTGACGCGCACATTGCGGCTCTCTCTGCGGCTGTGAGGGAGGCGGGTCGCGCATGCATTATGCAAAAAGGCGACCGACTCGACCGAAAGCTCCTCCTCTCTCGCTCCAAACAGGCTTTATGAAGTTATAGGACACAGTGCCTCTCTTATTGTTCTTGGTCAGGCCTGGGAATACGAGAGCTGCGCTGTTTTGACGCAATTAAATGGGTGATTACGGGTTCGGCTTGTTGCAGACAGCGAACATCATCAGCAGCAGCAGCAGCTCCGCACTGTTCGGCGGAGGCGCGTTCACACCCTACTCCAGCCCGTCTCCGGTGTGCCCCAGCAGCTCGCCTCCGGTGTGCCCTCTTTTCCCGTCACATCCGCGCAACATGCAGGATGAGCCTGCGGGGTTGACAGCTTCTCAGTCCAGCGAGCAGAGCAGCGCCTCCGACAACGACCTGAGCCGTTTCTCCGCTGTAGGTCACGCACAGACAGCCGGTGACCTTCAGCACGACCGGAACATACATCAGCAGGCTGAGCCGCCGCAGCAGCAGCCGTACTCCTCCTCCACGGGCCTGGACACCGATGCGCCATCGTCCAAGGTGAAGACCCAGATGGAGTCACCCAGCGCCCACCACATCAACAACTGCACCGGCGGCAGTAACATGCTCTCGGCCGCTTTCCCGGAGATGCAGAACCCCGGGGGCGGTGGCGGCGGCGGCTCTGCTTCCCCCACCCTGCCCGCCTTCGGAACACCGTGGTCCGTGCAGACGAGCTCACCGCCTCCGCACGTCTCCAATTCCGCTAACGCAATAAACCAGATCCCCACCACCGAGCCTGACAACTACTTCCCGGGCATCCCCTCCTCAATCAACCCCGGCTTCTTCCAGAGCTTCTCGGCCAACCGGTGCCCAGTGCAGGGCTTCAGCAGCCCCTTTCCCCCCCAGATCAACGTCCCCCCGCAGGCACTGCAGAGCCGCCGGTCCCCGGTCAGCCCGCAGATTCCCCCGCAGCAGGGCGCCTTTCTGCAGCAGAGGAACAACTACAACCACCACCACCAGGTGAGAGAACCCATTCAGTGAAACACAATATAGGCTATAACTTGTTCACTGAGAAAATAAGCACATACTTAGTGCAGATACGGAGCCTTTGTAGAAGGCGGCTGTTGGTTGGACTGTCATTGTGACGCAATCGCGGCCTTACAATATTTTAAATTCTTTATTTTACAGTTATACTGTATATTTGATTAAATGCAGCTTTAGTAAGCATAGGAAAAGTCTGTCCAAAAATCATATTAACACCAGTATGTGACAACAGTATGCATTATGCAACAGTAAATGTTTCAAACTTGTAGCACAATACATGAAACATTGTGAATGGCAGTTGTAATCTCTTAATTGTGGTGCTTTTTAATGCAATTTGGTGTTGTGTCATCACTTGTGGTAGTACAATCAATTGGTGAGTCAAGAAAGAGAAGTCAGTGGAAATGCAAGGTCAGATCGAGTTCAGTGCATTGTGGGATACGGTATTCTAAACAGCTTGCACTGGTTATTATACGAAACAGTTTTGCGCAAATATAGCTGGTTATCTGCGTTCACACCGCATAGTGCAGAAAATAGTAGTATGTTTTTCCACACAGCCATGTTTGTTTCTGAAAGCGGACACGGGCCGTGGTAATATCGTTCAAGGGCTTCACGTGACATTCCAGGGATGTCTTGACCTCTAGGGCATTCAGTGAAATCTCCTATTGAGGGCTTAGAGGCCGGAGATCTCAACACCCTGCTAAACTGCAGCAGTTTTAGAAAAAGCTGTTATTACTGTAATCTGCGGTTTGCACAGGCATTTCACTAATATGGCATGGTGGCCATTTTGGTGAATGCTATTCCTTTGCTTTTCAGCATTTCTTTGATATTATATTTGCATATTTAAAAATGTATAACAGTGTTCATTGCATAGCTACCGAATCTACATTAGCACAAACTAAATTATACTTTATTAGTTCAATGATGTGCGTTTGCAGTCTGATTTGAACTTGATATAAGATGAGGTGCTGCAAAAATAAATAAATAAAAACAACAAATACACAGAATGCTTTTTTACTGCGTTGTCTTCCCTGGCAAGCAGCAGCAAACACGCAATATAATCAGATTTACAAATAAATGACTCTTATTAGCCAGTTTTTTTTTCAATGAATCGACTCAAAACACAAGGTACTGATCTGAATCAGTCTAGCGTCTGTTTCTCACATACAGTGAAGTGTTCTAGATGCATTATGAGTGATATGCATTGTGCAGAACCTAGTGTATTTGATGTTACAGAGGCAATATCTTCGTATCTGGTGGTGGTGAATTATGGTAGGCCTCAGTGTCTGTGTGTGTGTCTGGTCTTGTGGGGGTGGGGTAGAGGCGGAGGGGGGACGGCCACATGATTTTAGGAGTGGCCCTATATGTCACAGTGATATTCCAACATGTGAAGTCATGCTGGTGTAACAGCTGTTGAGAGTGAATGTCTTTTAGCATGATATTAGGGCTAAGCTGAAGACACCCTTCATTCAGTAGTCCAGAATCGTGTGTGTGTGTGTGTGTGTGTGAGAGGTATGACCATGATCTTATATCACACTCTGAGTTACGGAAAATGTATGTTATCGTTGTGGTAAGATTTTTTTTTTTTTTCAAAGAAATTAATACTTTTAGTAAGGATGCCTTAAATTGATCAAATGTGACAGTAAAGACATTTGCAATGTTACAAAAGATTTCTGTTTCAAAATAAATGCTGTTCTATTGGTTAAAGAATCCTGAAAAGGAATGCGCAAAAAATATGAAGCAGCACAACTGTTTTCAACACTGATAATAATCAGAAATGTTTCTTGAGCAGCAAGTCAGAATATTAGAATGATTTCTGAAGATCATGTGACACTGAAGACTGGAGTAATGATGCTGAAAATACAGCTGCAGATCACAGAAATAAATGACATTTTAACAGATATTCACATAGAAAACAACTATTTGAAAATGTAATAATATTTGACAATATTACTGTTTTTACTGTACATTTGATCAAATAAAGTCAGCCTTAGTGAGCATAAGAGACTTCTTTAATTGTCTAAATCAAAGACAATTAATGATTTCTGTATTAATTAAATTAATTAATTTGATAATGAAATACTATTAAAATTAAAGGTACTCAAAAAAATTAAAGGTACTTAATTTTCATTGTTTGCACTTTTTCGTTGGAACTTGATGAAACAAACCAAAGGTTAAGATCACTTATAACAAGTGAATGCTAAATCTGGAATCAGTGCAAAAACATCTTCACATTATGTAACACCTGAGTTAAAAATCAAACACACAGATCAGTAAAACCTAATATTACAAAATGAATAGATCTGATTTTAAATGATGACTTTATAAGCCATATCTGAAGCTATTGTTCAACAGCCAGTGAACGCATAACTGTGAATGCATATGAATAGAAATCTGTGGTTGTGTCTGAAAGCTGAGAAATGCTGTCCGGATGCGAATGTAGGTAGGCAACAAGATACGTCTGAAACCAAAACGTGTCCTACATCCCGTCCACTAAGATGCCTTTTTGAAGTCAGCATTGATGTATCTTTCGCTGCCTGTGATAATCCCACAATCCTGTTCATTCGGTTCTGTGTTAGTTGAGTTGAAGAATAAAATGGCATCTGAAAGCTGTAGTTGGCGGTAATTGTAGTAATTAAATATATGCTTTATTATCACCAAAGCTTCTTCTGTTTGGGACTCTTTGTGCTTTGTTTCTTGTGTCTTTCTTATGTTTAAATAACCTAAAGCAGTATAGCAACATCTCTATATACATGTCTAAATTTGTGTGGCACACACACACACACACACACACACACACACACACACACACAGTATAGA